CTCCCGAGTTGGAGAGCGGCCCCCCTATCTCTCTGCATATCCTAATCTAGGCGTTGAGGTCTTTGTTCTTATGAGGAGCTATCGCTGCCTTGCACTCCTTTGTATATTGCTCAAAAATCAGCTGTCTTACCAGCGGTTGAGCCACTCCCGGATCAGGAAATATCTTATCGGCAGCATCTTGCATTTGGGCCACAAAGTCAACAAATGGCTCTGTGGTACCCTGAATTATTTTTGAAAGACACAAGGAGGCTGTTCCGGCACCACTTACCTGTTTTTAGGCGCGGAGCCCTATGGCATTGATTTGTTCATAGACAGCGCCGGGGAACTGGGTCTGGTCATCAGCGTGCCGACCTTCTCCCATAAGCATTTCCTTGTTCCACCCCCGGTTTCCCCGATTGGCGTTTTTCTCAGCCTGCTCTGCAGAGAACTCTGCGTACCAGGCTCGCCAATCTAGGTAACTGCCCGAGGGCAGACACGCCTTTGCCAGCTGAATCCAGTCCGCGGGGGTGAGGGGCCCAGAAGACAGATTCTCCAGCATGGCAATGGTGTAAGGCGCAGTCGGCCCAAAGGTTGTAACTGCATTTTTAAGTTCTCTAATCTGCTTTATCTCAAAAGGCTCCCATGCATTGCGTCCCTGGCCCATAGCTACTTGTACAGGAAATATCCCGTAGGGGCCACTATCTATCCCAGGTGGATGTACCTCATGAGACAAGCGTCCCCCCTGCCAAAGCCACCTGTAAAAATACCGACCCGCCGGCGGCGGAGCATAAGACAGCGGCCGTGATTGGGCGGAAAATGGGGGCCCGTGCATCACTTCCTGTTCTGGCGAAAGGGGAGAGAGCTCCCAGGCGGCCGCCTCGTGGCGAGGAATCGCCTCCGGAAACGGCCCCCAAGGTGGGGCGGAAGGCTTCGCCTCCCTCTCGCGCCGGGGAGCGCTCAGGAGCTCTCTACTCCTCCGCAGACCAGGTTGAGCAGAGCGCAATTCGCGGGGCAACGCTGGAAAAGAACCCTGCGACTCCTTATCGAGCGACTTGGGCTCCTGACAGCTGGTCTCTTTGGCCTCCTTGCCATTTAACTTTCCCTCGTCCTCGGAGTCAGACGACTCCGAGGCTAGAGCCCCGTCCTCCTCCTTAGCATCCTTGTTCCCCTTGACGGACCCCTCTCGGGAGCTCCCTGACTGGGCCTGCTCAGATACCCTGCGTACTTTTGTAAGCTCTTGAGAGCTTTCTCCACAACCACCCTCGCTCTTAGTGTTGCTACCTAACATGTTTCCCATCTTTTAATATGTTACTCACCGCGTGAGGCCCAAGGAATCCGCCACTTACGTGTGAGCCTGAGGGGAGTCTAAAAGCCCTGTAGGTGCGCGCCACCCAGAGCCCAGGCTTATCCCCAACTCACCTGTCTCGCAGCTCTGTACTGGAGCGTTGTCCACTTCTACGTCTCGGGGGTGATCAGTCCCCGGGCGGGCCTCCAAATGTCGATGTCCGCTCCCGGCCGGCAGGAAGGACACACGACAAAGTCTGGCAGTGGACAACCTTTTTTTTTATTTTTCTTCTCCGTACAGCCTGCCCTGGGATCGCTCCCAGCCGAAGCCTCCTCTGGTCCGCTCCCCGCGGCTCCTTTCGGGCTTCGCTCCGAAGCCTCTACCGGTCCGCTCTCCGCGGCTCCTTCTGGGCTTCTACTTCCGGGCTTCTTCTTCCCCCCAGGGGTGGCACCAGTATATATACGGATACAGTGTCCAATCATGTTAAAGTGAACAAGGCAAGCTGATTGGCTAACATCATCAGTTGCCAGGCAGACTATATTGTTGAGCGGGTTGTTTACGCGGTAAGCAGGAAACTAACATATTCGATGGGAGGGGTAATCTACCTCAGGCTTTGCTCTTTACCACAGGCCGCACGTCCGCCGCGCAAGGCGAGCTATCACAGACGCGGCTCCCAACAGGTTACCATAATGCCTCTTGCTATCTTAAAAAGAATTGCCTATATCATCAGTTATAATACAAAACAGTAAAGAACAAAACCGATAAAACCAAAACATTGGAATATTACAGGACTTCAAAAGAAGATAATAGACAAACCAGAATGGGCATCATAATGAATCTTATTGTCTTCGCAGTTGTTGCCTATACTGTCAAACTTGGTAATATCAAGCAAAACAGAATAGAGGAAAATCAGTCAAAATAAGATGGTGAGAGCAATACAGGGCTTCAAATCAAGTTAATAGGAAATCAAAGTGGGTTACTATAATATATCCTGCTTTTTAAAATTTTTCCCTTAATTAAAAAGATAAAAATAAAAAAGTAAATAATAAAAAAAGGAGATTGAGATAAAAGAAGACATAACAACAAAACAGCACAGGTCAAAACATAACCATTTAAGCAAAATAGTGTTTCACTGCAAGATATCCTGACATAAAAGTAGTTACCATAGTGTCTCTTTCCTTGAAATCTTTGAGTATAACTTCATATACTGTAGCATCAAACATATCAAGACAATGTAAAATCATTCAAGAGAATGACAGTATTACAGGGTACTTTTGAACACTGCGCTTCAAAGTGTGAGTCTCTGTCCTAGCTTGGGCCTAGCTCAGTTGCAATCAGCATCGTGAGCTTGGGTGAACATTTATTCTACCTGGACCTCAGGACTATCGAATCAGAGGTTTAAAATTGTGTTGTTTGTAGTATTCTTGTGTCTGTAATCTGACTAAGCGAACTTCATAAATGCAGAATTTTTCTAAATGATCCCTAAATGCCAGGCAAAATTTTGTTTACAGATTAAAAAGTCTGCATTTTAGTTACTCCCTTCTTTGCTCCCTAGCTCAGACCTTTTATTCTTTCCCCTTCCTTCTTTACTGTCTTAAAATTATATTTTATCCAAAATTATATTTAATAGATCACAGAAACATAAATCCCAAGAGACAGAGAGCAGCTTCTTCTGTGACTGATTCAGTGAAAGGTGACATCATTCGCAATTACATCATTCGCAATTTCCACCCTTAGGCTCAGGATAGTGACCAACTTTTGGCTGGTGTCCTTTCAGTTTGTAAGGTAGCAGTGGTCATTGCATAGACACACAAAAACATGGCTTTGTTCAGCAGAAAAGGAGAGAAAACTTTTTAGTGTGTCTCTGTAGAAGTAACCAGATCCTTACCACTAATAATACCCTCTTTCCACTTCTCGTGTGTCACTGACCAAAATTACTTCACGTGTCCTATCTCATCACTGTCGAGGCAAATGGAACCACGGTGTATGGAGGGGACTGATCAGAGTCCATCCCTTCCCTCTGGGACTTGGACTGGAGTTTCTCTGCTCAGGAGAACGGCATGTTGAGGCATCTTAGGAGATCGGTGTCTTTTCTTGTGGGATTTGTTTCCTTTCCGATGTTATTATATTTTTAGATGTGAATTTTTAGACCTGCAAGTTCCATTCTCAATTTATTTTTGCCAGGAAAACTTTATTCATTTTTCAGTACATATCATGATAAGGAGGAATACAACCAATATAAGTTAATACGCTTGAGTTTAAGGAATATTTTACAAATGTTTTTGACACTTGTAACAACGCTTGCGATTAAGAGAGGCAGGAGTGTATGAGCGATGAAAAATAGGTCATTGAGTATGAACTATTGTCAGTAAGATGGAATGGAAGCAACATTGCTGGGTCTGAATGGTGCTGAGTCACTAAGACACGATTTGAACTCAGCTGTAAACAAACCAATTAGTAATTTGATAATGAAATTTAATTTTCAGATTCTTGCCATAAAGATGTGACAGTCGTCCACAGAAATGGACGTGAAAGGCTACTCTGAGTACAGTGGGAAGCAGTGCGGGATTGTGGGGTTGGCATCACCTCAGCGAGTATTTGTAGGGGAAACCTGAGTAGAATCAAAAGAGGGAACAAACAGCCAAACCCTTCTCTCCGTGACTTAGGAATCCCAAGGGCATGTTGTACTTGTTGGGGTTCTCCAGAGAAACAGAATCAACAGGAAAAGACCTTTCTTCAGGAGTTGGCTTATGTTACCATGCAGGCTGAAAAGTCTCTCCGCCTGCAGTGTGCACTGGAGGTCCAGAAAGCTGATGGTGTAACTTGGTCCAAGTCTGAGGCTGGGGCTTCAGGATAACTGACGGTGCACTTCCCAGGCAGGGCCAAAAGCCTGAGGGACTGAGGGATGCGGGGAAGGGAGAAACCTACTAATGGACTTCCCAGAATTCAGCAGCCCGAGACCCAGAGCTCGATGTTCACAGGTGGAGGAGCGGGCAGTGCCAGCTCAGGGATAACAGGAGTCAGCGTGCCTTTCCTGTGTGGTTTGATTCCATCTGGCCTCTCAGCAGCTTGGATACAGCCTGCCTGTGTTAGCTGGAGTAGTTCCCTTGGCTCATTGTACTGATTCTAAGGCTAATCTGTTATGGAAACATCCTCAGAAGTACATTTGCAAAATAATTTGTTTTTAGCAGATGTCTGGGCATCACTTAGCACAGTCAAGTTGACCCAAGAAATTAACCATCCCAGGTGTGAAATCTCCTAGTGCATGAGTAACCTCCACTTAGCCTGTTCTGACTGTGCCTCCCTATAATTGCTGATACCTTCTCTCTCTGGATGTTCTCTGTTATTAATCTGTATTTTTAAATGGATTTCCTTTCACTTATGTACTTTCCCCATTGTCTAAAACAGTGGAAATGTGATGAAGTCCTCCTCACTCTGTATCCCCTATTCTGAGCCTTTAATTTAGTGGATACTTAGTGTGTGAGACAATCTGACCACTCTCAATAGCTGTATCCAGGAGACAGAATGGACCCAGGAAAAACCCAACCAGGACAATTGCTTAACGTGCAATTTATTCTTGCAAGCCTCAAAAAGGGCTTTTAGGGGTGCTCAAGAAATGAATGGCTTTTTCTATCAATTTATTGAGTAGAGGATTTTATGTTTTCTCTTTTTTTAAACTATAATACCCCCACTGCCTTTCCCTATTGGCTGATGACTTTTGTTTCTGACTTCACAGAGAGAAGAGAAGCAGTGGAAGAGATTTCCACTCAGACCCACGAGACACACCAAATCACAGTGTCCATCTGCTGAGCATTGCCTTCTCTTACAGCAACGGGCTGTCGGAGGCCTCACCTTCCCTAAGGCGCTGGATCTCACCCACTCCTGTCAGGAGTGTCCTCTCAAAACTGATCTTCTTCATAGCGTCACATCAGGGTCCCTCTGAACACCAAGCCTTTATCAGTGTCACACAAAATAAAGTGATACCTTCTATTCAGGAAATCTTTGCGCAAATATGTTTTTCTCTAGCCACTGCTCCCTTCTGTGTTCCCACCGTAACCAACCTTAGGTACTGAGGGTGCTTTAGACTGTGTCCCCCGACTGTGTCTTTTCTAAGAAGGTGCCTTATTCAACTCATGGCTCTTGTCTTAGTAAGCTGGGATGACTCTAACAAAATACAAAAACTAAACGACAGAGGCTTATTTACCCCAGTGCTAGGAGATAAGAAACCAAAACGAAGGTGGCCTAGATTTGGTTCTTGACGAGGGACTCTTACTGGCTGCAGGTGGCTGTTTCCTCGCTGTCTTTACATGATGGGGAGAGACGGCTCTTTCTTCCTCTTCTTATAAAGCCACTGATTCATCCATGTGGATCCACCTTCCTGACCCCCTCTACACCTAGTTACCTCTATATCTTCACATTAAGGTTTAACTCTTCAATTTATAAATTTGGCTAGGAAAACACACGCATTCAGCCCACAGCAGCCACCAGAGTATAACTCCAGGGCAGAGTCAGATATTTAATTGCCTCTTTGACATCTCCAAGCTGGCCCCTATTGATAGTTCATACTTAGCAGCTGTGTGGTTGCTTCTTTCACAGCCCCGTATTGGCTCCTCCATGGTCTGCCCCCTGCAGTCTGAGGTCCCTCTACTCAGTCCACTTTGTCAGTCCAACGCTTCTTGCATCCTTTCTTCCTCTCTTTGTGTCCTGTCAGGCTTTCTATCCATTCATAAATCCATCTGTAGCTTAAATATCTGATCACTTCTCACCAAGGGAACCATTCTAGATCAACAGCCCATTATCTCAGAGCTGCAGTCACGATGGGCCTCTCCTTCCTCTTGCTGTCCATCTTTGAGCAGAGCTCTAAGAATAAATGTTTAAAGCTGCCAAATGATATCATTCTTCTGTTGGAAACTCTGAGATGTTTCCCACCTTAAATTAAAGTTCCTGGCTGCTCGCTGCTTCTCCAGCCTCTTCCTCATCAGAGCCTGCATCCCGGAGCGGCGACCTTCATCTGGGCCCAAAATGGTTCTTGTGCAAAGCGTGGTGTACTGCACCTTGACCAGTCCTTCATTCATATGCTATTATTAGAAGGCTCTTTTTGCTGATTCTTTATATAATCTGGCCCCTTTTCACTTTTCTTCTTCCTCTTTTTTAAAGTTTTTTTTTTTCTTACCTAGCATATATACTTTTTATCTTTTTTCTGCACTATTTTTTTTTTTTTTTTCAAACCTGAGTAATGAAAGGCAATGGGGTGAGCCCGGAAGACAAGTGTCCCAGTTACTAAAACATAATAACCAGTACAGCTAGCAAGTTGATATAATTATTTATAATTAACATGCTTATAATTCCAGCAAAACAGAAACTCCACAAAATTATATAAAGCAAATTAAAGGGTCCTCCATGTTAATGTCTTAAGAAACAGATCTACAATAATGAAAAACAAACTTTTCTGACAAATAAAATAAAATTTGATTACTAAAGGGTTTTACTTGGTATTTTACATTGTTTTTAAAATTTATTTGTTAGTACATGTTTGCAGTCCACGAAGTTTGCATTCCTCCTTGGGAGTCGGGACATGAGCATAACACACCTTGATTTCTTTTAATCCCTGTATTTCTCCACCTTCTTCCCTTCCTCTGTCTCTAAGTTCCCATTTCAGTTATTACTGTTGAAGTACTTGCCTTATGTGAAAGCACACATCCAATCTTCATTTGCCTTCCCTTTCCCTTAGTACCCCCAACCACTTCCCACTTGCAGAACATTTTTTGTTTCTTTCTGTTGACCCTTATTTTTCCCCTTATTTGTCCTCTGCCCTATTCAAATGAGAGGTATCATATCGCATTTACACCGTGTGTCTGAGTTATTTCACTGATTTTCCAGGTGTGTGCATTTTCCTGTAAATGTCTCCAGTGTATCCTTCTTTCTAGTGTGATATTCCATTATATATAGATACCACATTTCCTCTGTTCATTTGGCTATTGAACAGCCTCCAGGATTGAGCTGTTAAAAATTGTGCTGCTATAAACACGTGGTATGATACATGTTATGCATGGATCGCTGTAATTTGATGTTTTAAAACTCTTTGGGAAGATGGCTAGAAGCAGAATAGCTACATCAAGTGGAATTTGTAAGCGTACTTCTTTAAGAAGCATCGTACCAGTTTCCATAATGGCTGTACTAGTTTACACACGTACCAACATTATAGGAGGATTCTTTTTTCAACAGAGCCGTGCTTTCTGGTATAAGATGATATCTTTTTTTTTTTTTTTTTTTTTGTCTTTTTCCTTTTTATTGGTACCAGGGATCGAACTCACGACTGCCTGCTTGCAAGGCAGGCGCTTATGCCGCTGAGCTAAATCCCCAGCCCCCATAAGATGATATCTTAACTTTGGTTTAATTTGCATTTTTCTAATGTCTAGCAATGTTGAACTTATTTTCACATGTTTGTGAGCCACTTTTTCTTCTAAGATCTATCTTTTCATTTCATTTGCTCATTTCTTGATGGAATATTTTAGTTTGGGTGATCTAATTTTTTATATGTACTAGATATTAGCCTTCTGGCTGAGGAGTATCTGGTAAAACTTCTTTTCCATTCCTCAGGTTGTCTTAACTCTGATGATATTTTCTTTGTTGTGCAAAATTTTTAATTTGATATAATCCCACTTGTTAATTCTTGCTATTATTTCTTAACGCAATTGGTGTTCTGTTCAGAATGCCCTTGTCTACACCTATGACTTCAAGTGCTTTACCTATTTTATCTCCAGTTAGTGGATTCAGTGTTTTCTATTTTATTGTTTAGATCTTTGATCCATTTTTATTTTAGCTCAGTCCATGGTGAGAGATATGGGTCCAGCTTCAATCTAATGCACATGATAGCCAGTTTTCACAGCATCATTGGTGATCTTTCTTCGCACATGTTTTGGTCCCTTTGCCAAATATCTAATAGCTGAATGGATGTGTTTCTGTGTCCTCTATCATCTTCCATCCCACCATATCCCAACTATACACTGTCTTTAGCATACCAATAGCATGCCATGTTGTTTTAATCACTGTCTTCTGTAGTATAACTCAAAATTAGGTTTTGTGATGCCTCCTGTTTTGCTCCTGTGGCCCAGGACTGCTTTTGCCCTTCTGGGTCTCCTTTGGTTCCATATAAATTTTAGAACAGTTTTTTTTTTTTTTAGTTCTTTGAAGAATGCTATTTATGTGTGTATTAGGATTGCATTGAATGTTTATATCAGCTTTGGGAGTACGACCATTTTGACAATATTGGTTCTAACTATCCAGGAATAGGGATACTTTTCCATTTTCTGATGTGTACTTGAATCTCATTTTTCAAAATACTGTAGTTTTCATTACAGAGGTCTTTTACTTTTTTGCTTAGTTAATTTTTAGGCACTTAATTTTTCCTGATGCTATTACGAATGCTATTGTTTTCCTAAGTTCTTTCTTAACAAGTTCATTAATGGTATACACAAATGCTATTGATTTTTGTGTGTTGATTTTGTATCCTGTTACATTGCTATAATTCATTGTTACAAGCATTTTTTTTGGTAGAGATCTTTCGGTCTTCTAGGTAGATCATTGTATTATCTTCAAACAATGATAATTTGACTACTTTAATATTCATATTCTTTTTATTTCCTTCTCATGCTTGATTGCTCTGGTTCATGTTTTAAGTACTATGTTAATCAGAAGTGATAATGGTGGACATCTTTGTTATTCCTAATTTTAGAGAGAAAGCCTTCAGCTTCTCTCTACTTAATATGATAATATGACCATTGGTTTTTCATGAAAGGCTTTTTATCAGATTCAGATAAGATGCTTTTAAGCCTACATTTTCAGGGTTTTTTTCATGAAGAGGTGTTGGATTTTGTCTATTGATATAATCTTGTGTATTTAGTCCTTTTTTCTGTTGTAGGCTGTATTACACTTATTGATTTGCATAGGTTGAACCATCCTTGCAAACCTGGAATAAAACCTACTTGTCATGATGTTTGAGCATTATGATGATGTGTTGTATTCAATTTGCCAATATCTTGTTGAGGATTGTTGCATCTATGTTCATTCATTAGGGAGACAGGCCTATAGTTTTCTTTTTTAGTTGAATCTGTGGCTTCAGGATCAAAGTGATGCTGGCTTCCCAGAATGATTCTGGAAGCACTGGGTCCCTTTCAGTTTCACCGAGGAGCTTTGGAGATACAATATCCTAAAAGGTTTTGTAAAATTCAGCAGCGAATCCCTCCAGTTCTGGGATTATTTTTCTTAGTAGTGTTTTTTAAGCTAGTGCTTCAATATCATTGCCTTTTATTGGGTTGTTTAGTATTTTTATGTCCTTTTGGTTTAGTTTTAGTAATTCACATGAGTCTAGGAGTTAGTCCTTTTCTTCAACATTTTCAATTTGTTGGAATACAATTTTATAGGGTTACTATGGTAACTTCTGATTTGGATAGTCTGTTGTGATTTTTTTTTATTTTAATTGCATTGAAGTCAGTCTTTCTTTCTTTTGCTAAGTTTCATTTATGTTTTATTCTTTCAAAGAATTAGCTCTTCAATGCGTTGATTCTTTGTATTGCCTTTTAGGCTCAATTTCATTAATTTCTACTCCCGATCTTTATGATTTCTCTTCTTAATTTCAGTTTGGAGTTGGATTGTTGCTTCTCAAATGTTTGGAGATTCCTCATGGTTATTTAAGCCATGTTGCTAACCTGAGCACCAACTGTAATGAGCTTTCCTCTTAGGAGTGCTTGCATTGCCTCTCGTAGGTTCTATTGTAGTGTACTGGCATCATTATCTGTTTCCAGAGATTTCTTCCTTGATTTCTTCTGTGACCTATTGTTCAGTCAGAAGTGTGTTATTAAGTTTGCAGGAGTTTCTAAATTTTCTGTGCTTTTTTTCCTCTGGTTGATTTTTAGTTTTGTTGCACATGGCCTGATAATAAATGGGGTGATTTTGATTCTTTTATATTTACTTAAACAGATTTTGTGGATTAATATGGGAGCTATTTTGTAGAAGATGTCCTGCTGCAGAGAAGAGTATGTACTCTGTTGTAGCAGGGTAGAACATTCTATAGATATCTGTTATCTATGTGCTCATGA